CGCGCTGGGGGGTCTCCCCTGGGAGAGAAGGTCCAGCTTCTTGATGTAGGTGGGTCTGGTGTAGACGAAGACGGGCACGGAGTAATCGCGGTGGTGTTTGTAGGCGATCCTCATGGCCTCCTTCACCCGGTGGTGGACGAACTTGCGCCCGTTGGGGGAGGATTTCAGAAAGGGGTCCAGGTAGATGGACGGGTAAAGGGCGGTACTCTCATCCCACAGCCACCACAGCTTGTCGTTCCGGGACATCTCCACGTCGGGGCACTTGCCGGTGTAGGTCTGCTGGTTGGTCAGGTAGTCATGGTTGTAACAGTCCGGGAAGAGGTAATACCCCCAGAGCTGGCGGGGGCGATAGTTCTTGGCGTACCGCAGCGTCTCCGCCATGAACTCGCGGGCGGCGTTCTCAAACTCGTACTGGGCTTGCTTGAGCTGGTCTTCGCCGGTCCAGTTGGAGTGCCGGGAAATGACCAGCTGCCGGGAGACCTGCCGGTAAACGCTCTTGTTCTGCCAGTTCCGGATCCAGATGGGGCGCCATTCCTCCCAGTCGATGACCGCCAGGCCGTCCTTGTCCTTCTCCGGGATGTACTTGTTGATCCCGGTCTGCATCTCGTCCAGGTGGGCGCGCAGGCTGGCGTTCTGCGGCACGCCCCCGTTGACGGTGACGTTGCGCTCGTCAATGTACGGGTACAGCCCCAGGCGCTCCTTGTAGAAGATGGTGAGGTTCTGCTTGGTGAAGCCGAAATTGGGCGAGGCGTTCAGGTCGAAGAGCCGCAGGTCGAAGGGCACGTCGTAGCGCGGCGGGCAGTCCTGAGTCGGCGCGTTCCACGCCACCATGAAGGGGCGGCTGCTGAATACGGGGCGGGCCGCGGGCTTGTCCAGATCTTGGCTGGAAGGCCGGATGTAGCCGGCGAGGAGGAGACACCACAGGACGCAGGAGAGGCCGACGCACGGCGTCATTCTGAACGGAAATCGGAGAGACCTGGAGAGAGAAAAAGAGAAACATCAGCAAACCGACCCGGTACACTACATCACACCACCGCCGACCCGGTACACTACATCACACCGACCCGGTACACTACATCACACCGACCCGGTACACTACATCACACCGCCCACCGACCCGGTACACTACATCACACCGCCCACCGACCCGGTACAATACATCCCACCGACCCCCGGTACAATACATCCCACCGACCACCAACCCCCGGTACAATACATCACACCGCCCACCGACACCCGGTACAATACATCACACCGCCCACCGACCCGGTACAATACATCACACCGCCCACCGACCCCCGGTACAATACATCACACCGCCCACCGACCCGGTACAATACATCACACCGCCCACCGACACCCGGTACAATACATCACACCGCCCACCGACCCGGTACAATACATCACACCGCCCACCGACCCCCGGTACAATACATCACACCGCCCACCGACCCGGTACAATACATCACACCGCCCACCGACCCCCGGTACAATACATCACACCGCCCACCGACCCGGTACAATACATCACACCGCCCACCGACCCCCGGTACAATACATCACACCGACCCCCGGTACAATACATCCCACCGACCCCCGGTACAATACATCACACCGCCCACCGACCCGGTACAATACATCACACCGCCCACCGACCCCCGGTACAATACATCCCACCGACCCCCGGTACAATACATCCCACCGACCCCCGGTACAATACATCACACCGCCCACCGACCCCCGGTACAATACATCCCACCGACCCCCGGTACAATACATCCCACCGACCCCCGGTACAATACATCACACCGCCCACCGACCCCCGGTACACTACATCCCACCGCCCACCGACCCGGTACAATACATCACACCGACCCCCGGTAATGTACAATGTAACACCCCGCTGTACATTATAACCATCACACCGCGGTACATTGATACTTCGAGTTCTCTGCCCCTCCCCCAGCCTGTGAGTGGACAGTGACAGGAAAAGCGGAAGTCTGATGAGCTCCTCTCTCTGCTCCCGCTTACACTTGGCGATAAGAATGCCATTGCTTTGTGAGGAAGTGGATGCAGAGTTCAGGAGCCGGTCAGTCAGCGAGCGAGCGAGTGCAGAAGAAGAAGTTCCCAGCTCAGATCATTCGGCTGACGCCTGCAGTTTCCTCGGCGCCCCGGCTCCCGGGATCTGCCCCAATGATGGGAATTCTAACAAACTTCCTGCAGCCGACATAGAAATCTACAGACGGGAGACGACGAATTACCGGCCGGTGGAAACCTTTCATCCTCCCCTCCCCCTCCAGTGCTCTGTGTTGGCAGAGCTGAGTAACAGTCACACCCCATCAGACGGGTCTTTACAATTACTTGTATTGCAGAGCAAGAGGGGGGGGGTGCCAGACCACAGGGGGTGTGTCTGATCAGAGAGGGGGCGTGCCAGGCCAGATGTGTTACAGAGTGCTGATTGCTGAGTGCACAGGGCCGGCACAACTACTATGACAGGAAATGTCGGTCTCGGAGGTTGGAGGCCCCTTGTACAGCGTGTACCTGACCCGCACATCTACTCCGTGTCACCAGTGACTGCTCCGGCTTCTGTAAGATTTAGGATTTGCCCCTTTTATGTGCTCCGTCTGTGCTTGTCGGGGGTCAGAGGCCATCTAAAGTCTGACAGTTGCTGCCCGGTAATTGCCTGACCCGGCACCCGGCCGCCTCAGTCATCTGACCCGACTGTTTATCTGGTGTGAATACCGGAGCCGTGAGCCTGGAGTTATTTAAAGCTGAACGCTAGACAAGTGTCCCCGCATACAAGTGTCACAGATTCATCATCGTATTAAAAAATAGATTCCTATATAACATTGATGGACAGTGGCCCCCCCGGGGGTACACGCCGGGCTCTAGATGGGTCGCCATATTCCTCGCGGTGAGCGCCGTCCTGTGATGAATGACAATATCTCTGTTCGGGGAATGTTGGGCGATGGAGGGAGCCAACTCCACCGAAAATGCATCCCATGAGCCCCTCCCCCCCCAGCCATTGACATGAAGCCCCCCC